CCCCCCCCCCCTTCGATTTAGTTCCAGCCTAACATGTGAGTAAAATTTAGTTAAGTCATTCATTATTCATCTCTTTCAGCGAAGTTTCCTTTCCTTATTGATCGAGTGATTGATTGATTGATCGTTTGATCACATTATATCTGTGAATGTTGAGAGCTTATGATCCTTGTATCTTATAGTGAATTATTTTGATCACTGGAGTAAATGTGAAAGCTGTGTTTAGAGTTCAAGTGTTAATCTATCTCTGTATCTATCTATCTGTGGTTGGTTTCAGGACTAAAATACACTCCGTCCTGCTCAGGGTATAGAGAGGAACTGGGAGGAAACCGTCAACTAAACCTCAAACTCCGTCTAGTCCGTTTAGTCTAAGAAATCCCTTTTTGTTAACGATTATTATGTTGATAACGTTGTACACATTGAACCTTGGAAATCCAGTAATATTCATCATTAATAGTCATGCAGATTACTTGCCTTATTCACAATTACATATATTTTTGGTTTAAATTCTTTTGAGAGAAAAGCGCGCCACTGGCCACTTGTAACTTGTAAACAAAGATATTAATAAAATAGCCAAGGATTCTTAAGAGAAAAATAAAAAAATTTGCATCACATTTGCCTCGTTTATTCATTGCAAATTTTTGCTTTGAAGATCGAGGAGCTGAAAGGGGGTAACTTAAAACTAACGATTTATAATATGTCTTCCGTTAACGCCGTTAATAAAATTGTTACTTTACGGTAACTTTTAAAAAACGCAAAATACCGTTTACGAAACGAGCTAAATAACGCCTAGTTTCAACTAAGGTATGTCCAATTGAGACATTTTTAATATTAGTCATTTTTCTACTTTTATCATTTTTGGGCCACATTGTAAGTATAAAGTATTGTTGTAGAGTTTAACAAAACAGAAAAACTGTTTAATGTCTATGCCAAGTTTACCATAGCAACCAGGAGCGTATATTCAGGGGGCTTTTCGAGCTCAGACCCCCAACCTCCTCCTGTATCAGTAAATGTTTTGGTGTCCAGGGGTATTTACCGCCCCCCCTCAACAATATCTGTAAACGCCCCTGCTCTAGCAGCTAAACAAACAAAACTCAAAAATAACATTTGTCTGCAAACGATTTAATTTATATAGACATTAGACACAAAGAAGATACCGGCAGACTTGTAACAAAAACCAATAAAATTAGCACAAAATGCAAAACTTAAACATTAAATATAAATTCCACAACTGCAATATATATCAAACAAGGATTAATTTCATTTAAAACTCTTAAAATAGGATTTTTCAACACGCTACTCTGACTAAATCAAGGTTTTGGCATGCTGCTGGCTGTTAGAATCAATTTATTTGTTCAGACTATCCCGAAACTCTTGTGCTTTCTTGTGCTTTTGCTATGAAATATATGTTTTTCTTCTGAAATACTCGCTGTAACAAAGACGACATCTAAATATATTGCGGGATTATAGGATCCATTCCAGGATAAATATATGACCAGGAAAAGTTATTATAGATTGAAATCATTATAAATTAATCCTAGCTACAATTCATGCAATGTTCGTAAATGAAAAGATTTTTTTTTTGAGATCTAGATATTTATTATCTCCGTATCGAGATTATTTTAATTGTACAAAATTGTTCACATATATTTAATACAACTATTTAACGATGCTATTGTGTACATATATTCTCAAATTAAATAATAAAAAATCGTACGGATACATTTTATCGTTTTTTCCTTTCATTAGGAATTTTGATTTAGGGATACTTGGATCCTGCAAAACATACAAATTGAATAGTGCAAAAATGAAACAGCATAGAATAAATTGCATAAAGTTAGTCGATGAAGAAGATTTAAAAATCGTCTGCATATAATTGAGCATTTAATGTGGAAAGTCAGATTGAGCAATCATTCTAAAGTTTTTATGTAACAATGGTGTACTGGCAATGTATGCAATATGGAAGAAACTACAATTGTACTGACGAAGAACATTGAAAGTTCAACGTTAGTATGGCATAAAACCTTAATTCTAGTAACAACGACATCTAGTGTTCTATCTGTATTGTTATTAATCTCTGATGAACATTTTTGTCCTGTCACTCATCGTATAAAATGATTTGTCATTGTAAATTAAATATGTTGTTAAAACAAGGAAGGATGAGTTTTTAGGTGAAAATTAAGTTGTCTACGGATGAACCCACAAAGGATGAGACTTCAGAGACGACATGCACGGAGTTTCTACTGTCTGTTTCCCTTTATTCATGATTCCTTGTTAAGGTTTTTGCCAAATCATTAAATAAGCCTTTAAAAGACAAGATTCAAGGCAGCATGACTTAATTTAAACTTATGGTCATTCTTAAAATCGTCTTAACAATCTCCTTCTTTGTAGGTAACTCCGTAAATAGAATAGGATATTCTACATTTTCAAGATAATAAGAGAAATATTTTCTAATTATTCTTCGGATTTATAACCTCTGCACTACTTTATGGGAATATATCGTGAGTAAACAAACTCAGCCACTTTCGTTCATTTTTTCTCATAATGGAACTAGACGTTTTCACACCATAATACATATTCCAACATATTTACTGATCTATACCACGTTACATTAGAACTGAAGTAACTTTCAAGTAAAAACTAAAAAAATGGTGTGACCGGATATAGAGCTACCAGGGCACAAATAAATAAATTTTACCTTCTTCTAGTGTCGTTAGAGTGACGTCATGATTTTTCTACCAACACTTTATTACAAATAAAAATTATTTATTCTTTATTAATATATATTTAACAAATAGATATACATTTATTGACAAACAATATAAAATATTATAAAATGAAGTATTTCCTTCATCAGCTGAGAGGCTGTGCTGTCTGAAGTCTAATCTATTTTTTGCACTTTTTCTAATGAGTGTTCACAATCGGCACTGATTTATTTTTTAACTAAAATATTGCAGATTTTTCCTCCATTTTTCTGCTAGAGGATTCTGCACTGAGATCTACAGGTTTCATCTTCCTCCACCTAGAAAATTTAGGGTGTCACAATTAGGTTTTCCAAACCAAATAGTTAGGATTTCCAAACTAAAATACCGAGTGTCTAAAACAGGATTTTCAAACTAAAATATTGGGTGTCTCAGTTAGAATTTCCAAACTAAAATACTGGGTGTCTCAGTTAGGATTTTCAAACTAAAATACTAGGTGTCTCAAATAGGATTTCCAAACTAAAATACTGGGTGTCTCAGTTAGGCAAACTAAAATACTGGGTGTCTCAGTTAGAATTTCCAAACTAAAATACTGGGTGTCTCAGTTAGGATTTTCAAACTAAAATACTAGGTGTCTCAATTAGGATTTCCAAACTAAAATACTGGGTGTCTCAGTTAGGATTTCCAAACTAAAATACTGGGTGTCTCAGTTAGGATCTTCAAACTAAAATACTAGGTGTCTCAAATAGGATTTCCAGACTGAAATACTGGGTGTCTCAGTTAGGATTTTCAAACTAAAATACTGGGTGTCTCAAATAGAATTTCCAAACTAAAATACTAAGTGTCTCAAATAGGATTTCAAAAAATACTGGGTGTCTCAAATAGGATTTCCAGACTGAAATACTGGGTGTCTCAAATAGGATTTCTAAACTAAAATACTTGGTGTCTCAGTTAGGATTTTCAAACTAAAATACTAGGTGCCTCAAATAGGATTTCCAAACCAAAATACTGGGTGTCTCAGTTAGGATTTTCAAACTAAAATACTAGGTGTCTCAAATAGGATTTTCAAACAAAATACTGGGTGTCTCAGTTAGGATTTTCAAACTAAAATACTTGGTGTCTCAAATAGGATTTCCAAACTAAAATACTGGGTCTCTCAGTTAGGATTTCCAAACTAAAATACTGGGTCTCAGTTTGGATTTTCAAACTAAAATACTGGGTCTCAGTTAGGATTTCCAGACTAAAATACAGAGTGTCTCAAACAGGGTTTTCAAACTAAAATACATTAAAGTTATTAACCTCTTTAATTCCATATTTGTTGACGAGAGCTAGACAGCTTGAACCTGATTGAAACAGATTTACTGTCTCACACTTTAACCCCTCTGCAGTACACGTACACTCTGTACATGGAGAAGCTCGATGTGTCTCACCCTCTCTAATGGTTTGTTCCGACACCTGGAAATAAATTACATTTTATAAATGCAAAATATGTAAATTGTTCACATGGATCTTACAAGCCTACATTTGTTCCATAAAACGCGCTGGGTCAACTGTAGATTGGGTTTACTTCTGAACAAAGTGTTCGTACTTTTGAACAAAATGTTCGTACTTTAGAACAAAATGTTCGTACTTTTGACCAAAATGTTCGTACATTTGAACAAAATGTTCGAACTTTTGAACAAAATGTTCGTACTTTTGAACAAAATGTTCGTACATTTGAACAAAATGTTCAGACTTTTGAACAAAATGTTCGTACTTTTGAACAAAATATTCGTACTTTAGAACAAGTGTTCGTACTTTTGAACAAAGTGTTCGTACTATTGAACAAAATGTTCGTACTTTTGAACAATGTGTTCGTACTTTTGAACAAAGTGTTCGTACTTTTAAAAAATGTTAGTACTTTGAAAAAAAATGTTCGTACTTTTGAACAAACTTTCCGTACTTTTGAACATGATGTTCTGACTTTTTAACAAAATGTTCGTACTTTTGAACAAAATGTTTATAATTTCGAAATTTTTTCGTGAAGTTCGATATTTCAAACAAAGAGTTAGGTTTTTTTCTAACAGTGCAGTGTAGGGATGGGCAAACTTAGTTTTTTTCAATTCAAGGTTTTTGGACTGTAGCGAAATTCTGTCCCCTGTAAAAAAATCTAATCGTGGAAAAAAATTCACTAAAGAATAACTATTAGATTTCTGTATAAAAAAAAAACTATTTTGAAATTTTGAACTTCTTAAAATTTGTGGAACCTTTAAAAGCCTAAATCTATTTTTTAACCAACCAATTTAGTGCCTTTATTTCTCTAATACAATGAGATCATAATTATTAAGGGGATATTATCGGAGTTTAAATAATTCACTGGGACGTTTTTCTTAGTATATCATGTGCTTAAAGGTCGTCAATTTCTCTTGTGTATCCAAGTAAAAAGAAAAACATCTACCTCACAAGTTTTGTCAACAGGTCCCTCTTCTTTCCAGGGTTCAAGATCAAGATGTTTTATTGTTTCAGCGCAATCCACCATGGGATTAGTTAATCGGTCCATCTGGTCCATAGCAGACCTAATAAAAGATTAGTTTATAGGTCCATAGCAGACCTATTAATAGGCTAGTTAATAGGTCCATAGCAGACCTAGAAATTGGTTAGTTAGTAGGTCCATAGCAGACCTATTAATAGGTTAGTTAATAGGTCCATAGCAGACCTAGAAATTGGTTAGTTAGTAGGTCCATAGCAGACCTATTAATAGGTTAGTTAATAGGTCCATAGCAGACCTAGAAATAGGTTAGTTAGTAGGTCCATAGCAGACCTATTAATAGGTTAGTTAATAGGTCTACAGCAGACCTAAAAATAGGTTAGTTAATAGGTCCATAAGGGACCTAGTAATAAGTTAGTTAATAGGTCCATAGCAGACCTTGTTAATAGGTCCATCGAATCCATAACATAATTAGGTTAGTTTGGTCCAGCTAATCTATTTGTTAATTCACATCTACAAAAATACAGTGGTCCCAATAAAATTAAGGAATATAAAGACGAAAAAGAAATTGTGCAGTGTGCACATGTCTTTGACTTGGTTAGGTTGATTTTCATGCTACTTGTAAAACTATTTGCACAACAAAAAACCATAAAAGAATGCGTTTATGGTTCTACCATCCCTAAATAATGTATAAATCTCTTAAAAACCTATGATGAAGTATAAATTTAACGAAAAAAATGGTGTCTTGAACACTTTAGTACCTGGGCAGTAATGAATTATCGTCCATGTTTCTACAAATAAGTCCCGCCAAACTGGTTCTTCGCAGTTCGGTCAGCTGATCCTCGCTAAACTTAAGCACGTGGTTTCCAGTTTCATACCAGAATCTATCACATTTCCTGAACAGTGAACACAACTTGGATAAAGAATGTCTGCCAGTCATTTTAATCAAAATCAAGCTTTTTTTCTAATATTAGATTCTTACACACTATCTGAACACCGAACAACAAAATTACTGCCAAGGCTTAAAGGAATTGTAGACGTAATTTCTAGTGACCCCCCCCCCCCCGCTATACATATATCTTTTAAACCTGATCAAGGATTAATGAGAAATTTATCTGAAAATTGACAATTTTCAGGTGTAGTCTCTTTATATAAGGGACAATTGTGGATAAATGACGGAGATGTTTTAAGAATTTTAATTCTTTTCAAGAGAGATAAGCGTCGATAACGTCGTTATTTGGTTATATTTAAAAAAATGCTGAATTTAGTTATACCTTTCTTTTAACCCTAATATTATTGCAAGTAGAGATGTTAACCCAACCAAAAATACTTCAAACTAAAATATTATTTTCAGGTTTCTATTTCTTTTGTTTCTTTACTCAGTTTAACATCTATAGGACATTAATAACAAATATGGAAAAAATACATTCTTGAAATTTTAGAGCTAAGAAATGCAATTCAAGAGCTTAAAGCTTTGTAGGGTTTATCGATTGTTTTAGAATTTTTTTTCCCTCCAGTATAGTTGCTTCATAAAGATCTTTAGGTGTGTCAATGTTGTAAGTGAGTTATTGAATGATTCTAATGATGATTTTATACTCTTTTCTCTTTCCTTTTCTAACTTAACAATAATCCGCTAATTCCTTCCAAAATGTCGTCTTCATTCATATTTAACATTTTTATCCACTAAGTCACTCTTAGTTTTATACACACGTATTTTATTCTATCTGTATCTTTCTTCTAAACTTCAATATTTTGCTTATTCTCTTCCAATACAGTGGTTTCCAAAAAACATCTATTCATTACTTAATCTTACCAATTACTCTAAATCCCAATTTAACAACCCTTTTCATCATCTAAACATTCATTGAATCCCAATCCCAACTTCCTCTTTAGTTGATATCCATTCCAATTCCCAACCTATACATTTAACCTTCTATAGACTTTTTATATCATGTTTCATTTATGACAAACGACAAGAGAAAAATCTGAACTTTAGATGTTTATGAAAGAAAGAAGCCTGTGTGCATGTGTTTACTTATATGTCCAAAGTGTGACCAAATCAAGTCTAAGTCAAAATGACCCCCCCCCCCTGTAGTTTTTTTTTACATAACTCAAAAAGTCTGAGGCTTTAGAAATTTTCTGACTTTTCCTACATACCCAAAACCCTCCCTTTAGGCCTACAACCGGGCTTTAATACTAACTGCCTGAGTCCTCAGGCACACTGCGTGAATGACTGCTTTTTCCTGTAACAAACTAAATCTTTGTTTTGACCCACTTCCACTTGTCAGATTTTGATAAAATTTAGCTTTTTGGAAAGCCTTTGACATAAGGAAACGAATTGCACAAGTTTTGCGAAAAAAATTGCAAATTTTTTGCAAACAACCTGTCAAAGGAAATTTGCACATTTTTAGTTTTTCTTGATTAAAAATCAGGTTATTTAAAATTTTGCAAAAATTTTAGTTTTTATTGATATTTGAAATGGCATGGTCAAGGGCTTTTCAAAAATGTATAGTTTTTTCATTTTTTGGACAAATCTTTTTTTGCAAACATTTTTACTATATAACTGGATTTTGCGAAAAATTCAATTTTCAAATTTTTTTGCAGATTCTAAAAATAGAGCACAAGCATAGACATCAAGCATGGGATTTAGAGGGGGGGGGTCAAATTGCCCCCCCCCCCCAGCATATCCTGGTTTTCAAGTAGCAGCAGAGATAGGGTTAAATTTCAAATCCAAAAAGGTACCTTCGACACCAAATTGGCCACACGTTTCATTTGTGTTTCAAAAGTGAAATCTGACAACTTTAGGACGTTTAACTTTAGTGAGATATAGGTGTTTTTCCTAAAAATCGGAAAAGTTAAGCTTAACTATAACCAAAGAAAGCACTTTACTCTAGATAGTGGTTTAGCGCTAAGGGACGTGCACCTGTTTAAAGGAACTGTACGCGTAATTTCAAGTGACCCATAGATGCCACTGCCTGATACACAACGGTACCCTGGAAACCTTTATCAGATCAATCAAGGGAAAGATATTGTCGTTCGCCAGGTTTAAAAGTGTTAATTCCGATAATTTCAAACAGTTTTTGCAATAAAAATGCGCAATTGTCACTTTTGAAGAGAAACCCCAATTCAAAATAATTAGCTTTAAAAATTCTAAACAATGATATCGGCTCAGTAACATTTTGCCTAGTACAAGTTCGCCTAGTACACTTTCGCCTAGTACATGTTCGCCTACTAACTTTTTGCCTAGATAACATTTTGCCTAGATAACATGTTGCCTAAACACAGTTTGCCTAGACAACATTTCGCCTAGATAACATTTTGCCTAGATAACATGTTGCCTAAACACAGTTTGCCTAGACAACATTTCGCCTAGATAACATTTTGCCTAGATAACATTAGAAGGTAATTTTTGCCTAGATAAATTCACTAAAATTTATAAAGTTCCTCTTTTTTCTCAAGAAATTCAATTAAAAGCAAAAAAAATGTATTATAATAATGTTTACAAATTTTTTCTTAAAGGGCACTTAAAGCTGGCATTACATTTTCTGTTTGAACAGCAACAATTATAAACTTTCTGACTACCAGGTCCATTGGAGACATATGAGAAATGTTGATTATCAATTATGGCTGGTCTGCCTCGTTTGGTTTTCCCTGCCTGAATTAAGGACGTCATGTCAACATCAATGTCAGTAGAAAACTGAATGATTTAAACTACAAAAAAAAATTGCGAAATTTTTACAGTAAAAATTGCGTATTTTTTTGTTCCAAAAGCTGGTTAATTTGAAGAATGTTAATCTAGGCGAAAATTACTCTCTAATGTTATCTAGGCAAAATGTTATCTAGGCAAATTGTTATCTAGGTGAAATGTTGTCTAGGCAATTGTTATCTAGGCAAAATGTTATCTAGGCGAACTTGAACTAGGCGAAAGTGTACTAGGCGAACTTGTACTAGGCGAACTTGTACTAGGCAAAATGTTACTGAGCCATGATATCTAATGCATACTTGATCAGACAAAGCTTTGAAGGATACCATTGTGATTCGGACATTGTCATCTTGCATGGTGGGTTACTTGAAATTACGCTTACAGTCCATTTAAATGGAGACTGATTTAAAGGTATGCAGTCCCATATTTGACTTAACACATCAAAAAGAATTTCAATAATGTTACATCATACCTAAGATGGCTGAACTGCAGACCTATTAAACAGGTCAAGGTTGGACCAGTTAGCGCGCCGGCCAACTTCCTTTCAGAGAGTAAACCAGGGAATAGATCCACGTCGTCTGGGTGCTTGTATATCTTCTGCAGTCTACAAATTAGATCATAGTTAAATATAAACTTTTATTTTTGTTGCCGATTTTTTCAGTATTTGCCGAAAATTCTGATTTGCACATCCCTATAATGGCAACCTGATAAGGTGAACATTTGATATTTAAAACTTTGAATATTTGATCTAACTGAATTCATAGTAAGAAATATCTAATCAAATCAATTAAATCATAAGTTGCTGGGATGGCCTAAGGCTCCAGTATTGGATCGGATCTAAAATATACGACTACGACATTGGGTTGCAAAGAACTAGGGAGTAGAAAAAAAACAATTGGGGGGAAAAGACTCAATTCCTTTAGTATTACATGCCACGTGGATTATGGAGGATCATAGCTAGTCAGGATAAAAAAATGTTGCTCATATTTAAAAAAAATATATATTAAAAATCCAACAACAAAATGCAATCAAATTTTATACATCTTGATATGGAGAAACAAAAAAGTGAAAATTATCATTATTTACATATATATTACATATGCAAAGTTATAAATGTAAGATAACAAGATTTATCTGTAATAAAAAACTTCAAAAAAATAGTTTATTGTAAAATAGATATTCGAATCAACTTGATTTCTGTAAATGTTTCATTTTTTATAAACTAGGCTTCATCTTCTATTTAAATTGTGAACATTTTCTATTTGTATATATTGTAAAACAAAAACAAAAAGTACGCGGATTTTTTAAGAAAAATTTAATTTGACAATTTGTAATTTTGATCATCCATAAACGTTCCCAGCAGGGTCATGTGAGGTTCAACACAAAATTTGGGCTCGATCGGTTCAGCCGTTTTGACGCTTACTAGATACAAACAGACAGACAAACAAAGTATAAATATATTGATAAACATTACTTGTTTATGATGTCCAAAGGTATTTCATCTTGAAAATCTAGAAAGTGTTTAGCTCTCTTCAGTTTACACATCTCTCTAAATATTAAGTAAATTAAGTTAAATCAAAATAACGAATATCTTTTAAAGTCGAATTTTAAAAATCAGAAATTAAAAAGATTAAGAAGAAATCAAAAGTGGCCACAGTGAATACAAAGATTGAGGGGCGGATACAGGATTTAAGTGAGGGGGGGGGGGGACAAGATTTAGGAACAAAAAAAATTCCCGATTAGGAACAAAAAATCGTGCCGCAGGAGAAATTTTTTTTTGACTTAAAAGACTCAAAAAGAGTCAAAATTAATGACTAAAGACTAAAAAACTAGATTTTTAACTTTAAGGAACAAAATTAACGGATTAGAACAGGAATTTAGAAACAATTAAAAGATTGTTCAGGAATTAGGAACAAAATTAAAGAATTTGGACAGGGATTTAGGAACAATAAAAAGATTGTTCCGGAATTAAAATGAGAATTCTTTCATGAAATGGCGCGCACAATTCTAAAGTGTTCAGCTCAGATAACATAAGATTTGATGTCCTTCTTCTTTAATCCAATCTCAAAATAAAATGAAAATTTACATAACTGGGCAAAAATATCAAAATTTGTAAAACTATGAACCTTTCAAAGTTGATCTGATAAAATTTAGGTTTCTATCAAATATTCCTTAAAGTAAAAATCTCATCATAAACCAACATGTTTTTTTACACACCTGTATTTGTTGTAACCTGGAATACCATGATCTCTTCCTCTTTGTATATTCAGAGCAATCAAATCCATCCCAGATTCAGTTTTCCCCCTCTCCTCAAACAGATGATTAGATATCTCCTCTGTCATCCGGTTATCCACCGTCTCCATTGGAGTCATCACCAGACCTCGGAGCAGATCGTCTACCATGTGCTCCTCCATGATCACATCCGGGTTGTTAAAGTGGTTCCTAAGTTGAAGGTCTCGAGGATTGGAACGACCAAGCATGGCCTGTTCACTCATAACAGTAAGATTAGGCCGGATGGTGCTGTGTCCAAACCTGAATGCAGCAGTGGCAAATTCATTGAAAGTTGTCGCAGAGCATTCAGGGTCATAGTCGTAGTAATATTCTCCAGTTCTAAGATCAATATCAAAGACCTTTAAGGAGTTTAGACCAAGAACTCGGGGAAGGAACTCATTATATGTAATATGCTGAATCTGAGCTCCTAGTATTCTTCTTGTCTCCTGGAATACCTTCTCATTATCCCAGTGTGGGTTCAATGCTGCCAACTTCTCCGCAATAGAGTTGTGTTCTCGGACAAGTAATGTATGCATGACTGTTAACCCTGGATGTTCATTAACCCTGCCATCTCCGGCCAAAAAACATTCTCCAGTGGGGGAGAAGCACTCCAGGTTCTCTGTGGTTCTTGGGAGTAGATACTTGTACTTACCGCCTCTACGATTAAGAGGATGTGAAAAGGTTTTGAGAAGATAGGAGTCCTGTTTCCTGAGCTGTTTAGTCTGACACTCATCTGATCCATAAAGAGCGCTTGCATCAATATAGGAGCTGATTTGGTTCAATTGCTCTCTAGGGCCTTAAAAAATTGACAATTGGATTAAATTGGATTAATACTCTCAATCTTCTGGACTTATAGCCCTCTTGCTCAAATAAAGCAAACTCTTGTGATTATACTTCTCCAGTTCAGGCTAAAATAGACAGTCACAGGAGGTTGCCTTCTTTTAGAAGGAGGGGAGGGGGTTCCCAAGCACATTTAATAATAACTACCAACCTTTCTTCTCTTGATGTACATTATAGATAAATAAACTAATCAACTTTTTACAAAGAATAAAAATCTTAATTTTAATTTGTTTTACCTATCTTCTGCTGTCCAGCGAAGGATCTGGTGAAAGGAATGCATTTTGGGTCTACTCTATTGTATGTGAAGAAAGGATCATCTTGTGGGATCTTAATAGGATTACAAGCTGGATGTTGAACACCAGAATCACAGGATTTACAGTCCAGAAGAGAATTGCCATGACCTCGAACCATTGGTGTGTGTGTCATATCATGATCAATAAACTGACCCCACTGCATCAACATCAAGGTATACTTTGGGTCTGGAGCAGCTTCATTAGTGTGGATATCTTGAGATACTGTTCTGGGATTGGGTATTCTTGATCCTCGGACACTTTTCTGTCGGGGAGTTGAAACTCCATCCTCATATTCAGACGGAAGAAAACGACGATGTGGTGAGTTGCTCTTACCCCATTCTGGGTTGTTTATGTTATTGCACCATCCACTGTATGTTCTGTATCTATCTTCTGAGTTGCAGGGAGTCAGATCTTCAGAGGGGAAGCATTTGCCAAGAGTAACAACCTGGGTTGCTTCTGCAGGAACAACCCTGGCTGTAAACCTTGATGAACTTGGAACATTCTCAACAGTTACTGTTGTATAGAAATTATGCCCTGTGGGTAGAGATTTAAGTTTTTCTTTCACCTTACTGTTGAGTATACCATTGATGTCGATAGAGTTTTGAGGATCGTTGAAGTCAATCCCAGCAGTCTTAGCTTCTCTCCTACTTCTAGTCTTGCTGGTGGATGACGCAACAAGATTAGCCAGGCGGGGACTTTTCATAAACTCGTAGGTGACAAACTCAAACAAAGCTGAGTTGTTTACTGTGTTTTGAACCTGTATTGAAGGTTTTGAAACTGCTCCTTGGGCTCGAAGACTGCTATGAACTGGAAGAGAACAACTGTCGAGCAGATTGTATTCAAACTTACGAAACTTGAGCAAATTCTCCATTGCCACTCGTAGGGCTTGTTCTATCTCTTCTTCCTCTTCTAGATCTAGTCCAGGTTCCTCTGACTCCCATAAGGAGAGGTCTAGTCTAGGGATGTACAGGCAAGATATCTGGTTGTTTAACGACTCATCGGGTAGGAGAAAACTAGAAGGTTGGATGGTTTTAATATTGGGAATATTCTCACATAGAAAGGAGGAGAGGGTGACAGACTTCAAGGATTCGATTTGATCTTTCCTAAGTCCATCCTCGTGCATTCTTCCAGTTTTCTCGTCTCGGGTATACCAAAAGGAGTCACCATTAATAACTTTGCTCAACAACTAGAAAAAATAAATCATCAAACATGACTGGACAATGTACAGGGACATATGAATTAACCCAGAGTAAACCATCATAAGCCAAATTCAACCCTTATTTTCTTCAGAATCAAAAGATTTTTAAATTAAAGATTTCCTATTTTTGTAATTGTAGAGTAAAAATGTTCTCAAACCTGAAGTGAAAACTTGATATTTCAAAACAATTGGATCTTCAAAGTTGATAGTATGTGAAATATCAAATGTCTACGACATTATGTTGCAAAGATATAAGGATTAAACAGTTAGAGTTTGAGGAGAGTAATCAACTCTTTTTTCTTGAAACATTGTAGTCACCAAGTGAAAATATGATGAATTTGTAATTTGAGCTATCAATAGAACTTATTTTGACCTGAACACCATGTTTACCTTATTAAGAAGGCAAGCTAAGGTTGGGGAGAGAATGGAACCCCAACCTGGGTTCTCTGCTAATCCTCCTAACAGAGGATTCATCAAAGATCCGTCCTTACCTCCTCTGCAACAAATAAACAAGAAAAACAATGAATTTTCTGTCTATCAAAGACGACATTTATAAAGATGATTTTTTAAATTCCAACCTGAACAAAGCTTCATAGTATTCCTGGCCCTCCTGGAGTTTACACTTGGTTCTTACATCTCTCCAGTTCAGCATTCCAATACGCTCCACGATATCAAGGGCTTCGGAGACATCATTTAACCTAGATAATAGATTAGTTTCAAATAGGTCGTCTTCAATATAGATTAACAAGGAAAGCATCCAACAAAGTCTTTTCTTAGTCAATTCTGTAGTTAACTTAAGTTCTTTTCTTTATACTGGGATTTAAAAATAGAGATGGAAGATAATTCAGTTAGGCATAGATAGCTATAGGTCGTCTTCAACCCAGAACATGGATTTAAAATTAATGAAGGAAGCAAGAGCAATTCTCAAAGCAGATCTTTAATAAAGATTGTTAAACCTGTTTCTTTGTAATTTCCAAAATAGAAAAGATAATAATTTGGTTTCGTTTGGTCGTCTTCAACCCCGGAAATAATTTAAAAATAAACCTGTCCATTGTAACTCCTCCAGAGGGAACTTCTTGTCGGAGGGTCAACATCCTTTCTGCTAGTTTCATCCAGATACTCTAAACAATGATTTAACACACTGAGATTAGAACTAAGGAGAGGGGGAACATATTTAAACAAGAGATTAGAGCTAAGGAGAGGGGGAACATATGTAAACAAGAGATCAGAACTAATGATCGGGGGCACTATGTAAACAAGAGATTTGAACGAAGGATAGGGGGAACTATGTAAACAAGAGATTAGAGCTAAGGAGAAGGGGAACTATGTAAACAAGAGATTAGAACTAAGGTTTGGTTTGAATGATTATCTCCTTCAAAATATTGATAATTATTGAGGTTGGGCTGGGAGATAATTATCTCCCACTAGATCTAGATATATATAATTCCTTGAGGTAGGGCTGGGTCTTGGGAGCGAAATATCTCCATAGATCTAGAAGATATAGATAATACTTTGAGGTCGGGTTGGGAGCTAATTATCTCCTATAGATCTAGATGTAAATAATACCCTGAGGTTGGGTTGGGAGCTAATTATCTCCTCCTAGATCTAGATATAGATATTAACTTGGGGGTGGGTTGGGAGCTAATTATTTCCTATAGATCTAGATGTAAATAATACCCTGAGGTTGGGTGGGGAGCTAATTATCTCCTCCTAGATCTAGATATAGACAATACCTGAGGGTGGGTTGGGAGCTAAATATCTCCTTTTAGCTAGATATAGATAATACCCTCAGGTTGGGTTGGGAGCTAATTATCTCCTCCAGTCCTAGATCTAGATATAGATAATACCTTGAGAGTGGGTTGGGAGCTAATTATCTCATCCTAGATCTAGATATAGATAATACCTTGAGGGTGGGTTGGGAGCTAAATATCTCCTTTTAGCTATATATAGATAATACCCTCAGGTAGGGTTGGGAGCTAATTATCTCCTCCTAGATCTAAATATAGATAATACCTTGAGGTTGGGTTGGGAGCTAATTATCTCTGTTGCTCCAAGTGCTAGATAAGCTTGAACCCCGACCAGAAGTTCCTCTACAGTAATAGGTTCAGGAGCGACGGCATCTCCAACCTAGACAAGTACAAATTATTACTCTTTAGTTCAACAATGTTCAACAAAATAGGTATTAAAATAATAAAATATAGTGAATACTTACACTAATATTAGTTCTTAACGTTGCTCTTCCCTAGAGCAATTATATTGTTTGTTATAAGAAATGCAAACCAGTTCTTGGATTGATTGATGTCGTGTTTTGTATATATTTAATGTCAGGGTTCAAAATTTGACATAATGTAATTATACATGTTTAGAATACATTTCCGCGCAAAAAAATACCGAAACCCTAATTTCTACCTTTTGTAGAAGTGATGTTGGATATTCTACCTGTTGTAGAAGTGATGCTGGATATCCTACCTGTTGTAGAAGTGATGCTGGATATCCTACCTGTTGTAGAAGTGATGCTGGATATCCTAGAAGGAGTGGTGCCAACTCCTTTACGATTATATTGTTGTATTCACCAATCAATATCCTACGAGACTCCTAAAAAATTTTATTTAAAAAAAGAGTAATATTATATCCTCTGTAAAGACCAGAAAAAGATCTGTTTACATAATTTTGACATATTGAACCAATTGGTCAAATTACGCGGAATTTTGACTCTAAGACATTCTAACTTTTCAAATTTTCATTCTGCAGAAAAAGTAAAAAAAATCTTGTTATGTTACCCATTACATTTTTAAACCTTTCTTTTCATATAACATCAAAAAGAAGCGGGTGTTTAAGAACGAATAAGATTTAATCTTTAAAAAAAATTTCCCCGTTGACATTTTTTATGAAATAAGTAAAATTGTAATTTTCTCCATTGTAATATAACCGCCTTCTAACCTGTTGGACCCTTGTGAGTCCCCAGTCCTGATTCCTCCGCCTTAACTCCGCCACAAGCCTGCTTTCTTCCGCCTCCAGTAACCGCCATAATATCTTCTCTCCAACCTCCCAAGTCTCATCTGCAAAAAAAAATATTTAATTAATATTTTTAAGAGTTACATACAGAGCCAGCAGTGGAGCTGAAAGGGTTCAAGTCCCCCTCCCCCTTCATGCACAAGAGAGAGCAAGGATTCGGAAGTTAAAATAGAACAAAAATATTTTTAAGTGTAACCTTTACAAATTGTTCTAGCTGACAAGGGAGAAAAGCTAACTTTTTAAAGGAAAAAAATCAAATTGAAAAAAATTAAACTTTAGCTAAATCAAATGTAGTTGAACAGTTCTAAAGTGCTAATCAAAAAGACCCGGAATCAATTTACAAATAATCAGACGACTTTACAATCTAATTTAAAAAATATTTTTGATGAAATGATAATCACAAAATAAGTCATGCCATTTTCAAAATGCGGTCTGCCTTTTTAACATTTAAAATGGCCAGAGATATATGTAAACTCGCCTGATTAACTGTTAATTAATTCCGGGTCTTTCTGATTATAACTGTATATAATTATAATTTGGTAATCACCGAAACTGTTCTTTTCAAAAGGTCTCACCGTTTTGTTCTGATAGAATTTGTATCTTGTCTCCTGATGTTCCATACATGTTGGATAGATCAAGCAGAGGGGTTTCCAGGTTTATAAATTCATCTTTTAGAGACCTAAACCATAGAGATCGTATACTATAGAGATCGTAGACCATAGAGATCATAAACCAAAGAGATCGTAAACCATAGGGATCATACACCAGAGATCATAAACAATAGGAATCATAAACCATAGAGATCATAAACTATAGAGATCATAAACCTTCGAGATCATAAAGCATCGAAATCATGAACCAAAGATCATAAAACATAGGGATCATAAACCATAAAGATCATAAACCATAGAGATCATAAACCATAGAGATCATAAACCATAGAGATCATAAACTACAGAGATCATAAACCTTTGAGATCATAAACCATCGAGATCATAAACCATGGAGATCATAAACCATCGAGATCATAAACTATAGAGATCATAAACCATAGATCATAAACCAAAGAGATCATAAACCATAGAGATCATAAACCATAGAGATCATAAACCATAGAGATCATAAACCAGAGATCATAAACCATAGAGATTATAAACCATAGAGATCATAAACCATAGAGATCATAAACCATAGAGATCATAAACCATAGAGATCATGAACCATAGAGATCATAAATTATAGGGATCATAAACTATAGAGATCATAAACTCAAAATTAATATCAAGGGGAGGGGAGAAGATGAAGGGGAGGGGAGAGGATGAAGGAGAGGGGTCCAAGTTTCTATATATCTGCTCTCTTGATTTTATGAATGATTTGAACTGGAAAGGACTGGTTTGGTTTACATATTACGAGATAATGGAATACTAATCCCAATCGTACATGGATTCAATAACATACAAGGAATAAACATGGGCCGGGACTAAAGTTTAACTGGGCCGGGCAGGGGGGGGGGGTTATGGGGGGTGGCCTTTTAATCAAAAATAATTAAAAGAAGTTTTCGACATAAATCTTAAGATATTCATCCTAATTCATTAAATACAAACAGAGATTTGTCTTGAGATTTTGCACAGAATCAGAATTATAATTATTTGTATGAATTAAGGAGCAAAGTATTGTTCACTTAAAGGGATTGTAAACGAAAGTTCAAGTGACTCTTATGTTACTGAGTGGCATGTCCAATTCACAGCAACCAAGCAGCGACGATAAACCAGTCCCAAATTCGAAACCCACTTTATTGTCCCGGCTCATAGCCAACCGGGACAAATGAGAGGGTTTGAAAGTAATTCAGTCGAGAATGGAAGGATAATGTGGTCACTAGGGATATAAAGTTGTTTCACTTTATTTACCTGATATCTAGCAGATCATGTTTAATAAAAACAGTCCAGGCTCCCAACCATTCTGTCACGGGTTCGATCCTCTCCGGGTGTTCTGCTAACATACTGCTGGGTAGGGGGGAGGAGGGATACCCGGAGATTAAACCTGAACCTACTGTTTGACCGGCCAATCCCCAATCAGGGTTTAATGCGTTGCTGCAGCTTCCGTTTAAGGTTCTATATAAATATATAGATAAAATATATTAAGTTCTTATTTAAAACCTTCATATTTTACACTGCCTCTCATTTTCCTCAGATTGAACTGTGTATACTGTACACTGTACACTGCAGTACGCTATACATATCATGTCAAATAATTAAACTTTAAAACGATTTTTGGGGTTTGTTACACATGATATTTGTTTTAATCAAAATATATCTTGTGAGTCATAATATTTTAAAAGAAAAAGCAGAGCTATCAGAAATGGTTTTTGTTAACAAATGTTCCCGGTTTTGAATGTCAACCTATGAAAGTACATTTTAAATACCTTTTTATTAATATTAATTATATATTATTTAAAGAAAATTACCTGAACTTTATTTTGCATTTTGTATAAACAGTCTCACTGTAAATGTCCCTGCAGCAAAAGCAAATAAATTTAATAAGAACATTTATCGGGTTTTAAAAAAAATCTAAATTCAAAATTAGTTTCCAAAACGTACTAACTCAATTTGATATTACAATTCATCTTTTATATTTAAAAATCTGTCAGTGGTCTAAAGAAATAAACTTTGAATCATCTTTTTAAACTTATTTTATCTAATTCTTATAAAAGGCAAGATAAAACGAATAAATACAAGGAGAACCAACTATACTTGTAGAGCAGAAACAATTTGCAATTTCCAAGAAATAGACTTTGAGACTTTGCAACATAATGTTGTGGACCTTTGATATTTTAAAACATAATTCTATGAGATCAGACAAAGTTTTGAACATCAAGTTAGGCTTCCACAATTAGGTTGCAAAGATAGTGGGATTATAATTACAGTGTTTATTTCGTTGAGTTCCATTTTTTTAGTTTTAATTTAGAATACGAATTACAATATAATAAAAAAATATCGTAAATTATTGTAAATAAACACGGTTTGAATTTTAGTTTTAAAACATTTAATTAGCTTTCCTGTATAGCAAAGAAAGGATCAGTAACGCCAATTTTAAAGCCATTCTCTTCACTCACTAGCTGGTCGGCTGTCCTAACTTAATAATATACTCTGGTGTACACATGTACTGCTGTACTACAGTCTCGGGTACTGTGTGAACCTTTGTTGTACTGTACAACGGGAATGTGTCTGTGCCAAGGAGTCTGAAAACACTTGGAAAAAAGTCTCTAAAATAAAAACACAAGAAAAGATATCGTACTGTTCACCACAATCTGGACACAGGAAAATTAATCATAAGTTTTTTTATAGAAATCTTTTTGATTATTGTTTTTTAAAGGGAAACCCAAAACGTTTGTATAAATCATCAAAAATCTATGAATAATTTGAATTATTTTTACCCCTTTTGTGGACTGTACATTGACATTTTTCCCTGTGACTATTTATAAATGATGAGCTTTTCTCAGTCACTTACTTAGCTAGTGGTAAACATGAGGACAAGGTCTCTAATATTTAATTTTTGTAAATTAAGTTATGTTACCCATGTTCCCTAATTCTGACATTCATGTTGATCAAATCTTACAAAATTTTTAACCCAACAAATTTTAATCAAAAGGGAACAGATTTCTAAAATATGTTTTAAATCTAGTTTTTTTTCTTGTCTATTAAGTTCTCCTGGGATATGAACAACTAAGGATTTTTCGAGGGGGAAACTGCCCCCCCCCCCTATAGTAGATCAATTGCATAAATGAAAAATGATAAATCCAAAAAATTCTGAAGTTTTAACCCTAGAAGTCCAGGGAAGCTTCTATTCAGACAACTTAACCATTACTAAAGGTTTACACAGGGCCGGGGGGGGAGAGGGGGCGCTTAAGAAACTGCGAAGGAAGCGTTGAGTGGGGGGCGGAGGGTTAAATATCTGACCACCTTGACAATGAGAAGGGGGGGGGGGGGGTAATAATCAGTTCAACCTTGATAATAAATACAGGTGGATTCTATTTATACAGATCTTATTCTTGAAAGAGTTAAGAAACTCTGCAAATATTTGTTTAAACTGAGAGTTTTTTTTTTATCATATTGAGAGTTTTTTATCATATTGAGAATTGCAGATAATAAGTTTTTGTTACGAATTATGATTGTTTAATTCCTTTATCTTTGCAACCCGATGTCATAGACCTTTGATATTTCATATTTTAAATCCTGTTACATCAAATGGTCAAAATTTGAATTTTCTAAAGTCAACACCATCAGATTTCAAACATATAGGGATTAGAAAATGTTCTCCTGTTGCAAAAACTTAGTTCCAACACTTTAATTTCGAGAAGAGTTTTAAGAAGATTATAACGGAGCATAACAAAAGAAGCGCCCTGTATTATGTGGATTTAACAAGTAATGAATAGACCTTTACACACATACTTACATATATATATATACATATATATATAATCAACACTAGGCAATTAGTACCCCCCCCCCCTAGCAACAATTATACTAAGCAACAGATTGTACATTAATGTAACTTTTCAAGGATTTCATAGTAAACGCGTTTAAACTTTTTCATTTATATATTTCTTCTGTAGAAATATAGAATGGAACCTATAAAACTGTGAAATAGGAAGACGACTGAACCCTAAAAGTTGTGAAGTGTACACAGACCAATTTCTCTTCATAAGTTACAGGTGTTTATTGTTTAAGCTACTGGTAACACTAATTACATTACGACATCACCAAATATACTTCAGATTTCTTAGAAGTCGTCTTCATATTCCATAGTTTTATGGGTACCACTGTACTTAAATACAAGTTTTTCATCTACAAAGGATGAGAATTTAGAGACGACTGTACGCAATCAATTCTGTCTGTTCCCTCGTATTTAATATTTTCTGCAACTGTGAACGTGTTGCTTTCTTTGCCAAACCATTTAATAAGCCAATTAATTACTATATTTAGGACAAAAAGTTTAATTTAACCATGGGATTGTTATTTTTCAAGGGTTTCAGGTTTTCATGAAAGTCTGTCACGCCCTGTAGCTATGAATTAATTTATTACGCTTACAAAGGTTAGAAAGAAAGCCNTGGACCAAACCTCTGTAGAGTAAAAAAGTAGATGTTAGTTCCACATTTATTGAAAATATATTTCGGTCTGGGTTGACCCTTGTCAGTTCTTGAGATTGTTTCTTCACAAAGATTAAAACAATATTTATTGCAGGTTATTGGAGGACGTAAACAAAGTGCACTGCAGGTTATTGAAGGATGTAAACAAATTGTACTGCAGTTCATTCGAGATTGTAAACAAAGTGTACTGTAGTTTATAGGAGGATGTATACAAAGTGGACTGCATTTTAACTTTTTAAGGATACTTTAAATAAAGTGTACTGTAGTTTATTGAAGAATATAAACAAAGTGTGGAACAGTTTATTGGAAAATGTAAACAAACCGTTCTGCAGGTTATTGAAGGATGTGAACAAAGTGTACTGCAGGTTATTGGAGGATGTAAACAAAGTGTTCTGCAGGTTATTGGAGGATGTAAACAAAGTGTAATGCAGTTTATAAGAGGATGTAAACAAAGCGTACTATTGTTTATTGGAGAATGTAAACCAACTGCACTTCAATTTATAAGAAGATGTAAACAAAATGTGTTGCATTTTTAGGATAATGTAAACAAAGTGTACTATAGTTTATTGGAGATTATAAACAAAGTGTTCTGCTATTTATTGAGGATGTATACAAAGTGGACTGCATTTTTAGGATACTTTAAACAAAGTGTACTGTAGTTTATTGGAGAATAAAAACAAAGTGCACCGCAGTTTATTGGAAGATGTAAACAAACTGCTCTGCAGTTTATTGGAGGATGTAAGCAAACTGTTCTGCAGTATATTGGAGGATGTAAGCAAATTGTACTGCAGGTTATTGGAGGATGTAAACAAAGTGTACTGCAGGTTATTGAAGGTTGTAAACAAAGTGTAATGCAGGTTATTGGAGGATGTAAACAAATTTTACTGCAGGTTATTGGAGGATGTAAACAAAGTGTACTGCAGGTTATTGGAGGATGTAAACAAAGTGTAATGCAGTTTATTGGAGGATGTAAACAAATTTTACTGCAGTTTATTAGAAGATGTTAACAAAGTATACTGCATTTTTAGGATACTTTAAACAAAGTGTACTGTAGTTTATTGGAGAATATAAACAAAGTGTACCGCAGTTTATTGGATGATGTAAACAAACTGTTCTGCAGTTTATTGGAGGATGTAAGCAAACTGTTCTGCAGGATATTAGAGGATGTAAGCAAATTGTACTGCAGGTTATTGGAGGATGTAAACAAAGTGTACTGCAGGTTATTGAAGGTTGTAAACAAAGTATACTGCAGGTTATTGGAGGATGTAAGCAAATTTTACTGCAGGTTATTGGAGAATGTAAACAAAGTGTACTGCAGGTTATTGGAGGATGTAAACAAATTTTACTGCAGGTTATTGGAGGATGTAAACAAAGTGTACTGCAGGTTATTGGAGGATGTTAACAAAGTGAATTTCGGGTTATTGGAGTATGTATACAAATTGTACTGCAGGTTATTGGAGGATGTAAACAATATGTACTGCAGGTTATTGGAGGATGTAAACAAAGCGTACTATTGTTTATTGGAGAATGTAAACCAACTGCACTTATAAGAAGATGTAAACAAAATGTGTTGCATTTTTAGGATAATGTAAACAAAGTGTACTATAGTTTATTGGAGATTATAAACAAAGTGTTCTGCTGTTTATTGAGGATGTAAACAAAGTAAACTGCATTTTTAGGATACTTTAAACAAAGTGTACTGTAGTTTATTGGAGAATATAAACAAAGTGTACCGCAGTTTATTGGAAGATGTAAACAAACTGTTCTGCAGTTTATTGGAGGATGTAAGCAAACTTTTCTGCAGTATAATGGAGGATGTAAGCAAATTGTACTGCAGGTTATTGGAGGATGTAAACAAAGTGTACTGCAGGTTATTGAAGGATGTAAACAAAGTGTACTGCAGGTTATTGGAGGATGTAAACAAAGTATACTGCATTTTTAGGATACTTTAAACAAAGTGTACTGCAGTTTATTGGAGAATATAAACAAAGTGTACCGCAGTTTATTGGATGATGTAAACAAACTGTTCTGCAGTTTATTGGAGGATGTAAACAAATTTTACTGCAGGTTATTGGGGGATGTAAACAAAGTGTACTGCAGGTTATTGGAGGATGTAAACAAAGTGAATTTCGGGTTATTGGAGTATGTATACAAATTGTACTGCAGGTTATTGGAGGATGTAAACAATATGTACTGCAGGTTATTGGAGGATGTAAACAAAGTGCACTGCAGGTTATTGGAGGATGTAAACAAAGTGTACTGCTGGTTATTGGAGGATGTAAACAAAGTGCACTGTAGGTTATTGGAGGATGTAAACAAATTGTATTTTAGGTTATTGGAGGATTTAAACAAAGTGTAATGCAGTTTTCGGAGGATGTAAATAAACTAAACTGTTCTGCAGGATATTGGAGGATGTAAACAAATTGTAATGCATTTTCTAATGAAAACATTTCAATTCCAGGTTGATATTCTATGATATTACGGACGTTCTTGACGTTTTGCTTGTATGTTTGTGTCCAATAAACATTTAAACTACGACGACGGATAGAAAAGCAACGTTGAACCGCTGAATTTCAAGGATGAAATGAAAGGAAAGTTAATTGCAGTTGCGTATACTCTGCGTACATATTGAAACAAGTTCTCTCTGGGCGGAATTTGTAAGCAAGAATAGATGCCCCAGTGTTCGGAAACACTTCTTTCTTTTAGGGAAGTAGCTTCTACTCTGGGGGGAGCATCTATAGCAGAAATAAATATACAAAATAATCTAGAATGGGCAAATACCAAAGTAACGTACGAATGTTTAGTTGGACAAAATTGAGGAAACTCAAAAGTATTGAACAAAAGGTAAAATGTATCTTACCAAAAAACTTTACATTACAAAACAACATTCACACACGTAAACCAGGAAGGGAAAAAATTGATTTTCGAGCAATAGAAGTTGAGTTCCCATCAATAGAAATTGATTTCTCAAGAAGAAGAACAAATTTATTTCCCATCAATGAAAATTGATTTCCCTTCAATAGAAATTAACTTCCCATCAATGGACACTGATTTCTCGTCACAAAAAAAAATTGATTTCCTGTTAATAGAATTTCAACATTTTTTCTAAATTTAAAATTGAATCCTCGTAAAATATAAATAAAATGTTGCAATAATTAGAGAACTTTTATTATTTAAATTAGGTTCAACAATTTCATAATTTATAATTATTATTGACTAAACCCGTAGTTTCGCCTCCAACTAATGTCTTCGGGATTGCTTTCTGTATGGACGTGATTTCGGCCATCTCTGTGTTTTCTCTGATGGGTTACCAGGTACATGGGTACGCTCAGGGTTTTTAGGAAGTATAGGATCAGTACACTTCTCAGCATTTTGTGTTTTCAAACAGCAGTTTAAACGACAGAGATAATATTTCTAAAAAACATAAAATTAATTAAAAAATAAAATTAATCAAAATATCAATCAATCTTTATTCTTTATCTATGGTAAAGCGTTTTACATATTTGGCATTTATAAAAAACTAGAGCCGATTAATTCGAAAAAATGCATTATCATCCCCAAACCCGTAAAAATCGCTACCAACTCTACAAAAACTTGCATCTAACTTTGTAATCACAAGAATTTTTTGTGGGGGAGGTCCATACCTGTTTATCCCCTCATCTCTGTAGAACAACTAGACCCTGGCATCGAGCAATGTTTAGCTGTCGGATAATATCTGGGGCTCCTATAGTAAATAGTTCATTATTTTTGACACAAGGCAAAAGAGCGCTTGCCCATTCTCTATTTTAACTGTAACTATCTGTGAGCTTTTTGATACAACTTTTATTATACATCGAGAATTATTAAGGATAAATTGATAAGTGATCAGATAACATTTAGGACTCTTTTTCTTAACCTTAGTAAAATATATCGAACAATTTCTTATGAATGAATGAAGTATCGTCTGCAAAGCATGCATAATCATATGGTAGGGCGGGCCGCGTCAGTTGTATCTCCCTTCTATTCCTTACTCTATAATGGAAGGTCGCTTAAAATGACAAGGACAGTCCCTTTAAATATCTTGTTTCAATGATAACAATAATAATACCTGGTGTAGATGATGCTACAGGTGGATTGGAAACTGGAGTACGGGTCAGTAGAAACCGAGTAGTATCAGACTAAATAGTTTAAATATTGGTAAATTTTTCCGCGGAAATTGGAACGTTTTCTCCCAAACTGACAGATTTTCCATATTGGCAAGTTGTTTCTCCAAAATGGAAGAATGTGCTCTTTTTATATCTTTCAAGATTGAGATTAAACATAATAAAACAAGCCTTAGTGTGCTGTAAAACCTCATTTCACTTAATAAGTTGATTTTCAACTTTAAGCTTTAGAACAATATCTAGAAATCTAGATTAGGATTCTAATTTAACGGTTTTTTTGCCTCTTTTATCATTTCTTCTTATCGCAAAACCTTAAGATTATTTGTTAAGATTCTTATTTCATGCGGTAACTTTTTTTTGTGGGTAAAGAGAATGATTCAGCAAGAGAATTTAGACCCCTGTTTAATTGTGCTCCTGTTTTACTGAGCAATTCTTAGAAAAACATTGCATAACAGCCAAAATCAATTTGAATTAACACATATAGCAACCAGTAGATGTAGGACTTTATTTAACCATTCAAACATTAGAATAGTGAAAAGGGGGATATACCTTCGTCCCCTGCAGAAGACAGGGTCAAAACCTCGGACTCTTTCCTCTCTTTTTCTTGGCTGACAGAATTCATCTGATTTTGTAGGTTTATTTGACTAGATAGGTTGATTTGACTTGGTAGGTTGATCTGACTTGGTAGGTTGATTTGACTTGGTAGGTTAATTCGACTTTGTAGGTTGATTTGACTTGGTAGATTAATCCGACTTGTTAGGTTGATCTGACTAGATTGACTTAAAAGATTTGATGATGTTCTGAGTGTTGGTAGACTAGTAGATGAGGATACAAGGTTTAGTTGACTAGACGAGGACCCAAGAATTCCTGGAAAAAATGTTTGTTGACGACAGATTATGAATTATTTTATAATCAATCCAAAAATCCAAAATTGATATTCTACACTGATAAACAATATCAAAAGATTCCAAAATTGATATTCTACACTGATAAACAATATCAAAAGATTCCAAAATTGATATTCTACACTGATGAACAATATCAAAAATTCCAAAACTGATTTTCTGCATCTAATACACAGTATAACTAAGAGATTTCCATCCTCGCTGATATTTGATTTCACTCTATAATAACTAAAAAATCCTCATACACCTTAGATCTTCATTAAATTTAAATTTTTTTCGGATTGATTGTTATTTTTTAACCAAATATAGGATTCAAAACAAAACAAAAATATTTCTTCAGAAAAAAACTTGTTTTTTTCAGGAAAAAAATAATTTTGGAACTAAAATGTCTACCTTGAGAGGATAGTACCAGGGAGACAGGACGCAGAGCAGTCACTGGTAATCTTAGTGTACCACTGAGACAGCTCAACAACCTGGAACAATTAATAAATCAATCAATCATCCAGTTATTCAATCAAGAAAGAAATCCATGAATAAAGAAAAAGATCTCTAATTCATCATCCTATTCATTCATCATTTAATCATAGACCCTATTAATCATTAATCCTTACAACCACTCATTAATCATGTTTTCATTTATTTTATTATTCATTTTATCATTCATTTTATCATTCATTTTATCATTAATTTTTTAATATTGCAGAATACACTGCATATTGTTACGAACATCTGTGGAGATAAATTTGTAATAAGCGTTTAAGATTTGCGCTATTTTACTCGATAGTTTTGAATTAATTGAACAATATACCTGGAAAGCTAAAGCTTTTGTCTAATAGAAGATTCCACATTTCTTAGAGCTTCTTCACTTACACTATATCCATCCATCTTAAACAAATCAGATGGAAAACAAATATTGAAACTTTTTTCTTCAAAAATTCTCTTTTCCCCCTCTTAAAGGAACTGTAAGTGTAATTTCAAAGGACCTTCTATGCAAAGCTGGCAATGCCCAATTCACAACTGTACCCTTGAAACCTTTATCTGTTAAATAATATGGAACATATTGTAGGTTTTCTAGGTTTGAAAAGTGTTTAATTCTGATAATTCCTGTATGTTTTTCTGTAGTAGAAATGGTCACTTTTGTAGAGAAACCAGAATTGAAAATAAATAAACATTTTTCACAATAATAATAAGCATTGATATCTAATTCATACTTGTTCAGACCAAGCTTTCAAGGATACCGTTGTAAATCAGGCACTTCCATCTTTGCATTGAGGGTTTCTTAAATATTGTGTTGTTTACATTTTTTAATGCAAAAATGTTATTTTTAATCTGTTTACCTCAACATTACGCTTTCCCTATCATCGAATGATTTCACATAATATAATACAAAAAATATCTGAAAATGTAAATTGTAAAAATATATTAAAATCTGTTTTTGTGTGATCCCTGGTCAGTGGTCAATCTAGTTGTCTACTTCCATTCTTTGTTTCAGGTTTACCCACCATTGGCGAATCAGGGGTTTCTTTGCAAAATTAATCCTAAAATCAAATTTATTAATTATTTCAAGGCTTTTGAGTAAGAAAATTAAAACATACCAAAAGGACTTCAGGATTAATCTCGCTGTCAGCTTTTCCCTTCTTGGCGGATCTCTTCTTGGCGGATCTCTTCTTGGCGGATTTCTCCTCAGGTTGTTTCCCAGATTTTTTATCTTTAGCAGAGGATCTTTTATCCATTAGGGTTTCGGCGGCAGGATCATTTGAAGACTCTTGGGAGTCTTCTTGGATATCACTTTTTACACCTGAAGTCAACTTATCTTCACAAACATCCATATTTGTCTCTTCATTGTCTTCTTTCTTCTCTAACTCCTCGGTCTCAATAGTATTTTCCTCTGGCTTGATGTCTCTTAGATAGTCCTCTGGAACTGTAACAAGTAAACAAGTTGGTGGCAAAATCAGGCTAAAGCAGTGCAAGCAATGATTTCAAACTTTGTTTTCCTCATATCTTTGCAACCTTTAAATGCTTGTAGATCAAGTAGTCAATTAAAGAAATATCCAATGATTACACCAAAAGGTTGCAACCAAATAGAGGATTACGAGTTAGAGGCAAATAATTAATTCCTAAACGTTTTCCAGAAAACGGAGGTTTTTCGTTACCTAAATATTTGTCAGGATCATTGTAGTTCTCAAAATCAATTGAGTGATCAAACTCTTCATCACTTGAAGCTTCCTTCTCACTTATCTAATCAATCATTAAATAGAATCAAGTCAATCTTTTTATTACTAATTTTCCATGATTTCAAATTTATCAGAAAATCAAATTCAGGAAATCAAAACCGAGTAGCCAAAAATCAATTTTGCCAAGCAAACAAGAAACCAGTCAATCAAAGAACACAAATTGAAATCAATCAAACAATCACTTGTTCACCTTGCCGTCATCACTATCAGGTCCCTCCAGTAACCACTTCTCGTATCCCTTCTCAATACCAGTATATATTGTTATCTAGAATTATTATTATCAGAAGTAGTAATAGTCGTAGTAGTAGTAATACCACTTAATTGTTGTATAATTAAAAAGACAGCCGAGCATTCAACAAATGAAAACCATTAAGGGGACTGTGCAAGTGATTTTAAGTCACCATCCCTTTATGTCCTATTCACAACAGTTTCCTGTAAAATACCTCCAGGATAGTAGTTGGCTGCCTCTGTTATTAATTCTCCACGAATTGCGACTAGGCCTTCCAGATTCTTTATCTTCTTCTGCTTTCTACACAGCAATCAATCAAACAATCAACAAAATAATCAATCAATCAATCAGTTATTGACTGAATCAATCAAGCGAACAAATCAATCAATTAATCAAACAATCAATAAATCTAACAATCAATCAATAAATCGAACAATCAATCAATAAATCAAACAATCAATCAATTAATCAATCAAAAAATCAATTAATCAAACAATCAATAATCAATCAATGTATCAATTAAGCAAGCAATAAATAAATGATTGAACCAAATAATCAATCAATTAATGTTCAATCAATCAACCGTTTACCTGGATTTATTGCTTCTAAGTTTAGTATGTGCTACGGAGAATTCATGATTATCCAACTCCTGGATAAATCCAACAACACTTTCCTAAATCACATTTTTCAAGGCCCTGCCAATTTGCAAAATAACAATAAAATAAAGTGATACATTTGTAAATTTTAGAATTACGAATTTTTTTTTTTTTAGGACTGTCGAAAATTATAAATGTAGCATAAATGCGTCAAATCTAATGATTTGTTCCCTTTAATATAGAAACGATTGTGATATATTCATTTTATCTTTCCAGACTGTAATATATTTTTTCACACATATACACAGACTACGAAAAGATTATTTCATGAATCACTGAGAATTGAACATGACGTAGCAGCGGTTTACTTTTCAGCATAATTTATTAAAAAGCCCCCCCCCCCCTTCTCCAGGTAAATGATTGAAGGTCATGTTTAGGTCGTCTATTTTCCTCCCAGTGTTAAATTGTTATGTTTAAATTGCTGAATGGGGGGAAGTGGTCATGAATGAATGAATAATTGGACATCAAAAGGCAAGATTTTTCATCCTCATTCCACCCAAAAAATAATTAACTTACACTTAATAATATATATCATTTTCCCAAACTCAGTGATAAAAGAAATTTTAAAAATTTTTCGCTCTGCTGGGGGAAAAAATTAATTTCAGAATGGGGGGGGGGAATATAATTTTTCAAGAAAATATCAACCCTGGGTTTCTACCTGGTAATCATTAATGTATTTGCTAAAGTCCTCCAGGTTCTGGGTGGAGCTGTCCTGCTCCACCCAAACTGTACTTTTCAGATCATGGGCTTTCAAAAATGTGGTCTTCCCACTCCCGCCATCTA